TGTGTGTGTGTGTGTGTGTGTGTGTGTGCGCGCGCGTGTGTGTATTTCGCGAACGACAAGATGGTCAGTGACGCAGGACTCCTCTCACAACTCTACCTTATCCTCCTCTCCGTGCGTCTGTGTATTTTTTCTATGAAGTCTGTTTACTCACGAATGCTTAACCATATTTGCAAGACTAAAATATTTATACTCAACCAGCTTGAAAACGTTGTATATAAAAATAAATGTCATTCATTTTATTTGTATACGTTTAACGTTTCTTTTATATTGTACACTTTTTTTCAAAGTCTATATTTAATTGAAAAACATACCGTTGGATAAATAACAGATTGCTATTATAATTTATATATAAACATAGATTTTCAGACTTATTAGAATATTAAATAAAAAGTAATTAATAACACTTTAGTAGCTAGCAATGAATTATTTATAGAAAAATATATCAAACCAATAAAAATAAATGGAAAATTCCATACAATAGAAAGCAATTAATTAAGACAATATTTAATAAATTGTCGATTTTTATCATACTATTTTCATTTTAATCAAATTAAGCTTTCGTTTAAAATTTTCGTTAGTCGTGAATGCCTGTTCGATATTCTTCATTAAATATATAATTCATAAATTATTAATTAATTTTATTAAACTACTTAAATATTATTAGATATTTAATCATTATTGATTAATATATAAGACATTTGTTTATTTTATTGGTGCTTTTTAATAAATATGTATGCTGACATTAATATTAGTGACGAAGCATCTGTGTGTGCGAGACATTAAAGCTTAACAAGTTTTTTAAAAAAATACGAAAATAAAATGGTTATAATTATAATTGTTATATATTTTACCTTAAATACAATAATAATATTTGCGTATATCCGTTTATACGCTCCTTTTAACATTACCAACCATGTTTATTTACATATACATAGACAATAAATATGTAGTTAAACGTAATCTTATTAAAATCTAAGAATATTAAAATTAATCAATTTATAAAAAATTATCATCTACTTGGGAAAGTATGTTTTATTTATTCGTTAAATTTGTAAAACTATAAGAATAATGTCAAGTTAACACTTATTTTAGCTGCAAGTAAACAAATATTAGTAAAATGTGTTTGTATTTTTTAAGAGAATTTTATAAAATAATAAAAATTATTATATACACAATTTTTATGGAGTTCATAAAATTTTTTCATCAAAACTGCTCTTCCATAAAAAATAAAAAAGCAATTTATGGACAATTTATTAACACATTAAGGCATATAAAAATTCAATTAAAACGAAAATAAATCTTTGAAGCGATTTATATTCTAATAAATATTCTCGTAGTAAGTATATTGAAATTATATTAGAATCAAAAAATATTTTGTAAGATTATATTTTTTAAATAATAATTAATTGATATATTGACTTGTTTCTTTAAACAAATAATCTTATACTCATCATATTGCATATGTATTAAGTATACTATGCCGATAAAAGACTTGAAACAATATTTTCGCACTCTTAAAATAAGAAATTTTGTTTAGACTGTTGGAAAAAGCGATGCAACAATTAATTAAAGTTCTTATGATTATATCGTAAAAATATACGAGAGGAAAGACACTTGATAAAATAGATTTGATGCAAAACCATGCATCCTTCCCTTTGTTTCTCTTGAACACAGCTCTGTCTCTCTCTCTCTCTCTCTCTGTCTCTCTCTCTCTCTCTCTCTCTCTCTCTCTCTCTCTATATATATATATATATATATATATATATATATATATATATCTCACTCGCTCCGGTTAGAAGAACTCGTGAAAAACTGCGCTTGGAGAGTTCTCACTCTTCCTCATCCTCTACGTATAAAGCCCACACGCGATAAAAATGTCGAGATTCTCGCTTCATCCTTTCTAATTAGCAGATTATTCACATTACGTGCTAGTGCGTGGGTGTGGTTACGTATGGATGCAATTATTTGTGTGTATACGTTCGCGCGCGTCATAATTATCTCCGACTCCCGAGCTATTCATTAAAAACTCAGGAAGAAGAGGCGAAGCTGCTGCTTTCGAAAATATGAAGTCCGTGAATGCGAGCTCCTCTGCAACTTTATGGAATTCCATAAGGTGAAATATGCCCTTCGAAAGTTTGGAAAATACACCGTTTTACTTGTCGCAAGTACACTCTAAAGCTATTGTTTTACAATGGTTAATATACAGTATTTCCTATTCCAGATCTACATTTTACTAAGAAATTGTTCTTAGGTATTTTGGATCTAATATCGATTAAGTAAGCCATCCTAGTGTAAATAAGCTACTTTAGCAACTAAAATATTTCATTGAACTGTTTGTACATGTGAGCCAAAAATCATGGTATATATAGGTATGGGAATAAGTACACGCATCGAGCAAGGAAGAAAGTATCGAATTCGTCCAACCTTGTCGATTTATCTATTAGTACCAAAGTCCGGATAATAATTACATAAATCTGTATATCGAAACAAAATGCTGACTTGTATAAGATTTACGTATATAGTTATATATAACCATATTTATTAATACTATATCTTTTAATATTTACGATACTAAACAATCTATTTACTTAATATTATTTTTAACGTAATGCAGTTACAATTGGGCGTTGAAAAGTCTAAAATTATTTTTTTATAAAATAATTTTAAATAATCTCAAATCCATTTAGTCTGCATGACTATCAAAATTGTTCAATCTACATACATCATTCGGAATGGGAAACCAGCCACATCCGTTATTTATGAATAATTTCAATACCATAATCTTGCGTGCATCGTCATAATCAATTATATTTGTATGTTCATGAAAATCAAAGAAAAAAAAAATCATGAAACTATCGAGCTCGTAGCGTGTAGCTGAAAGTCATGAACACCCGCTGAGTATTATATAATATAAACTGTGACACTCGATGTGTTGACCTGTCCACCTAATGTCCACAGGGCAACATTTGGCAGCAGCTCCTGTCCTTCCATTTCATCTTGGAATTAGTCAACACCATACCATTTACCATCACGGTGAGTCTACATAATGTCAATAAATAAATAGATATATATATATATATATATATATATATATATATATATATATATATATATATACGTACATGTTTGTGCGCGTGTGCACGTGTGATTATACATTAAATTAAATATATATATATATATATATATATATACAGATACGTACATATTCGTTATGGAGTTATAATTGCATTCGATTTGGCTCATACTCTCGAATCCTAATAGCCTAATATAGACTTTTAGCAAACAAATGAATGCCGGCTGTGAATTATCACGCTACAAGTATTGATTATATCAGGCCTCAGTCTCCTGGTAGGTATACTTGACCACAATCTACCGCCTGATTGGTAACTTTATTCAAAATATAGTAGAATTTGCCCGGAACATTTACATATGACAACTCGTGGTTACATTCACCCTATAAATACATTCCTGCGGTAAGCCGAAATCATTCGGCAAATGGCTCATGAAATTCTACATGAATCTTCTTGACCTTTGCACATCCAGTTATTCAAGAGCAATTAAAGATTACTTTTAAATTTAAACTAACAACTTAATTGGGTTGAAATAGAATTTATATATATATATATATATATATATATATATATATATATATACAATTGAAAAAATATGACTAATTACAGAAAAAATATATCTTTTATACAATCAATTTAAATATTTACCATTTTTCTGACATTTACTATTTAAGTATTCTATAAATTGAAATTAATATTACATTATATTGTATTATTTTGACAAGTTAAACTCATTATCAATGGCTTCTTGAAAAAAAAAAAAGAAAAAAAATTAAACAAATAAAAGAAAGCGTGTCATGAAAAATTACTTTAATACGAATGAATGCGGTCCAATATAAACGTTCAATTGAAAATGAATAAATACTTGAAAAAAATATCTATGTAGTGTCAATGCTTAGTTTTATTACTTTTATCACTATAAATCTTCGATCTCGTGATCTCTTCTTGTTTGAATTTCCTTTCATGTAACGCTCCCATGCATGTTTTTATACGCGTTCATATTATACGTCATTTCATCGTTATTTTATTTTTCCTTTCCTTTCAAATAATCTTTTCGAATAGAATGACATCCTATTGTCGTGAATATATATAACTATATTACACATTCAATTTTCCTTACTCGTTTTCATTTCATCACTTTAACTTAGCTATTTTCAGTCGATAACGCAATTTATTATTTCAAGTATATTTCGAAAGACTTTTTTACGTTCTAGATCTTACTCCACTATGACTTAATTATTACATTTTTGTTTGTAACTACATTTCAACGATATATTTCTTATATTAAGCTACGACTTATTTAAAATTCTTCCAATATTCAACGACTCTTCATTTAATATAAATATATAGAATGTGTAAATACAATTATATCATAAAATATAAAAACAAAAAAGGACAGTGAACGATGAATGTAGGAACTAATGCATTTAAATTTAGAATATACACAGAAAATATTAATATAGTGCGATATTCAATAAAGATACTACATAGCAAACTGTTTAAATCAAATTTCTACGTTAAAACTACCACTTTACGTGCTTCATTAAACGTTTAATTTAAAAGTATATAAAATTATAATAGCTTATTACTCTATCACATTTCATGTTATCTTATCCAACTATTGAAAAAAATATTAATATTAAATTTGCTTTCATAGAAATATTACAGTAAAATAAAATTATATTTAGATTGTTAGTATGTTAGAATTAAATGTGATAAGACCTGTAATTTTGTATATTCGTTATGTAAAATTTCTTCTGTTTCGCGTGTAAATATAGGTTTTTTTTTTTTTTTTGAAACAGAAATTTTTAATAAATTTCAGATGAATATAATTTATAAATTTATTTCCCTTACGTTATTTTAGATAAATAATTGTAATGACTAACAAGCAAAATAAATATATTCAAATAGTATTTCCAAACAATTATTTATGGTATATATATATATATATATATTATTTACATGTTGTTTATTGGTATTGTTCATTGCCATTAATTATTCTACTCAATAATTTGCAAAATTATAATAAATCCCACTTACCTATTATAATCAAAATTCATCTATGTAAAGGCCACTATATCATTCATAGATGAATTACTATGATAATAAGTTGATCGAATTTATGATCTTTATAATAGTAAAGGGAAAAGTGTACTATGAGAATAAAGATTAATCCCTCGATTTTCAAGCCATATTAATATTTCGTTTAATTATCATAAAGCCATTCAAAATTCTAGTTTAAAGTACAATCTGAATTCTGTTCTAAAATGAAAATATATATTGCAGATTCATAATGAAAATTGAATTTTTTCCTAAGAATATGAACACATATAGTGAAATCTAATCTGTACATTTGAATTGCACAGCGAATGTAGCCTTCGTAGAAGTACTACATATTCAAAGTTAGAATTGATTTTACGTTTTTATGGTATAAGTTTCGAAGGTTAATTTAAAGTTTTATTTTGTAGATAAATATAAGTTATCTATTTGTTATTTTAGTTGTTAAAAAAAAAAAGAAAAAAAAATCGTCTGTAAAACCAGTTGTATTACACTTTCTCTATATTTGCTAGTACTTTTAATCCTTCGTATGATAAACTGTCCAAATATTTAATTTTCTATAAGGATTTGTCACGAAAAATATGACTCATTTAATGTCATGTACTTTTATTATCGAATTAAATTTCAATTTTTCAACTTTGAAACTGTGATAATTAAAAATGGTTAATAACATTATTAAGATATATAGAAAGTAAGTATTATTCATTTCGAAATTTAAACTCTAACGGAATTTGAATCCCTCTCACGTACCCATAACGTAATAAACTTGTTTTTCGCGTACTCTTGAGTAAAAGCAGATAACTTTTTGCATACAAAAGTCTAAGCGCCAATTTTTTTTCGTAAAATGAAAAAATGAAGAAACAAAAGCTTTAACGACAGCGAAAATGATGACGATCAGTACGAACGTTTTTGTTAAATCGCCGGAAACTGGATGTTAGCAGCAGCCACCGAGCGTATGATGATAAATCGATGGATATATAACGCTGAGAGGAGCTTTTACGATTTCCGCTGCACCTTTTACGACAGTCCATGTGAAATCTCAGCGCGGGCAGTAAGAATTGCGTGGTCGTATTCCGAAAAATCGGATATTTTAAATGCAAGGATATAAGTAAATTTGAAATGTTTTACTTTATTGTTTCTTAACATAACGGATATATAAACCTACTATTGTAAAAGATAAAGATTAAATTGTTACTAAATATTACTACAATATATATATATATATATATATATATATATATATATATATATATATATATAGGATAATTAGGATAAATTGTCATTTAGTAGGGCAATTATTCGATAGGCTTATGCTGCTTGGTATAAAATAAATTTCCTTAATAATGGAAAATAATAATAAAAAGGGTTAACTGGATATTACGAGTAACATAAAAATATTTAATGTAAACATATGTTTGATAACATTGAAGCGAATGTAACTCGTATATTTGCAATATTTAATATAATTGAAATATTTTAACAATCGTTTTATATGATTTGATAGCGGTATTATAAATAAAAAAATTTCCATAAACCACATTGATAATTGAGATAAATTTAAAATAAAAATACTCGACTTATTATTTCACTATTAATATTTAAACCTACATACAATAAATATATGCATGAATTACTGGAGATAAATTTAAATAAAATGAAGCTTGAAAAATATTATTTACTTACGCATATGGATTATTTACTTTCTATCATAAATAATACAACTATTCCTACGTATAATATACCATTTAATTTTCTTATTATTTGCTTAAATAATAAGTGAAAAATTCATTTCAGGTAAACAAAAACTACGAGTACTTTGAATAAAAAAATTATTTATGTAAAATAAATTTTTGAACGTATACATAAATAGAACATTGTTTTAGATAATTTAGATAATTTAAAAATTATCAAGTATACTAAAGCTTAAATAGAATATTTATTACATTTTCATATTAATCAAAAATTTTCACAAACATACAGTTTAAAATCTGAAATTAATTTACAAGATTATTAAAGAAAGCGGATGAAATTCTATTTATACATTCAAATCATTGAACCTTTTAATTTTAAAATCTCACATTTTCATTCCACAATGAGTTTTATCGCTAGAAAAAACTTTGTAGTAAAAAGTATCTAGTTTATGATGAAATATAAAGTTGATTTGACCCATTTGCCATGTGACACTTTGCTGTAGTTTATAGTAGGAACTTTTGTCGATCGAATGGTAATTTTAAATGAGTTATCGTTCGTATTGTTACGTATGAAGGAAGCTAAACTGGATATGAATATATATTCTTCATTTGATACTCTACTCTAATTATATCAAACTTAACTTCCTTCCTAACAATTCATAAAAATGAATATTGATAATATGATATTATAGTATTGTAATGAGTCAAAGACATGATTTTTAATCCCGGGATAAAATAATACCGTTGCAGCATTAATAAAAGTACGAGGAATTCGAAGATGTTGTATAACAATTTATCATTATCATCAATGAATGTGTATGAGAAGTCGCTAGAGAGAAAATGAAGGATACGTAAATTCCGGACATATCATGTGATAATTTACAAAAATTTTAGAATTAACAGTGAAGAAGAAAATTAGTACTAATCTTTGCTCTTTATTTACTTCTATACTTTTGATCATTAAAAAATTATTTCTGTTCTTTACATATTAACTATTTACTTCTACTTATTGAAACATTGATTGATTTATCCAATATTTCCTCGTTTTTAAAATGATTTACTTGTAAAATTCATTCAGAATCCTTTGAATTTCGTATAAGTTCATTAAAATTGTTATGGAATAAGGCCATTCATTTTGCATGAAAACATTGGAATCGGAGAGAGAATTGTGAAAGCACAATGAACGTTATGTAAATAATAAACATATAGAATTGAAAATAATCAAAAACTCTAGAAATCAATAATTATTTTTAGTATACTTCATTCGTAATAATATTTTTATTTGAATACCATATATTATAATTATTTTAATAAATAAAGCGCAATATAATATCGAAATAAATTATATTATTTCATTTACATAACAAACTTAATCTCTATAAAACAATTACAAATAAATTCCCTCCAAATACTCTTAAATTTTTATAATAGTAAACGAATTTTATATTAATTTAATATAATCATTCTTACACGTTTATCTAATATTATTTATTATACGTTTGTTTATAAAATATATAGATGAAAATTATTGTCAAAAAAAATCAATGTTTTAATGTCCGTATTATAATTACTATACCAAATTGCTATAGAACTCACAGTTGCTACCCAAAATTTATCTAATAGCTACGCGTAAAATGCAGCTTACAAACGATATGTACGAAAGGACCTTTATTATTTCTTCATTTCATATGTGTGTGTGTGTGCGTGTGTGTGTGTATGTATATGTATATGTATATGTATATGTATATGTATATGTGTGTATATATATATATATATATATATATATGTATATGTGGATGGGCAAATGCATAGTATGATTGCGTATGTATACATGTGAATACAAATATATAGATATGCATATGGGTACGTTCATTATTTGATTGAGCATCCTTTGACAGCTGCTGGAAAATCAGAACGGGGCAAATTTCCAATTGGTACGCATTCACATGAATGTTTACATCGTCAATATCTACACAGTCGCGGACATTAGGCACGCGTCGTTTGCTTCATGAGCCATAGCTTAACAATACATAAGTACTTTTAGTCTCAATTCATTTTTATCAACTATATTTTATGTACGTATTTGTATATAGAAATGTATTTATATAATGTAATTACACTTTCCGTTGTACAATTGCATGGAAGATATGAGTGTGTTAAATTAAAAAATCTGTATACAAATTTAAATATAAATATGTATTTTATAGATCTTCTATGTACTCTAGAGTAATATAAGAAATATTAATATATTAAAGAGATATTCATATATTAAACGATTAAAAAAATATAGAATATCCTTTAATGTAGTTCAGTCTAACATAATTATAATACTAATATTAAATAGGTTTATGAATATTGAATCATTAAAAGCTGCTTTTTTAAACATTTATTTAACGATTCTTTCTTCTGTATGCTATTATAGAAGCCTAAACATTCTAAACATTCTACTAACTATGAAAATATCTTTAAAAAATGTTTTACAAAATAATTTTTTATTAACTTATATATAATCGTTGTTATTTTAACGTTATAACACATATATGTTAAAACAAAAATAACATTAATAATGGAGGATTTTTGTATGTAACAAGATTGAATATATAAATTTTTTGTTGTATTAAAAAATATATATATCTATTTAATTATTTATATGCTTTAACGAATTTAATAATTTATATTTTCGTTTGCAGTATGTTTATTTCAATGTTTACTGTTATTTGGCAGAGAAAAAACGTATTTTTAGGCTATTTAAAAATAGCATTTAAATCGAACATCACAATTTTATTAAAATTAAACATACATTATAATAATTTAATAATAAACAAAATTTCCTATTCATTATTATCGTTTTCGGTTAATTGTTTCAAAATCGCAATATTCAGTGTGAATAACTGCCTGAAATCTCTTTAAAAATAATTAAGATGCCTATTGGATAGAAAATTTTTTTTTTTTTTTTTTTTTTACTTTTCATATGAAATTGCTCCTATAAATTGACGTTTTCTGTCATTGGCAAGAATATCTGATTGCTATAGTTAGGATTTGCTTAAAACGTTACCGTTTGCATTACTCCCTTTCAATATGTATTCAAAATAATCTTCACAGCCCCCATTCACAATAATTCCAATAACATTTGGTATTAAAAATGAACAATACAAAATATTAGGCATTATATTTATTATACTATTGGGAAATAAATGTTTTACCTGTATGTATTTAATTGCATGATATCAAACAACCTGACACGTTGTTAGTATTTAATTCAGATACCGAATAGAGTTATGAAATTTAATATTGATACGATAAGCAAATAATTATCATTTTAAATATACAATAGGCAATAACCAATTAAATAATAATTAAAGTTGCATTAGCGTTACGTATGAAATAAGTGAGATTATTTGTCATAGGAAAGACATTTCTATATCCTATGCGATCAACGAGATGTTTTCACAAATTATTTATCTCTTTCAACAAGATATCCAACGAATTTTTCTGCTGCACCGTAGCACTCGATGCGTTTCCCTGTTAAGAGAAAGGAACTAACCGTGTCATTTTTCAGCTCCTGTATCCGCCCATGAGAAACCTCTTCATACCGGTTTTCCTCAACTGTTGGCTAGCGAAGCACTCTCTCGAGAACATGTTCGTAAGTAACATCACGTACTAACCGACGGCTCTCTCTCAAACAAAGATCGATTATGGTTCGAAGCTGACGAACCTGAATACTTTCTCATTACGAGCAGTGCCTGAGCCTGTAACTCTTTGGTATTTTCAGAACGATCTTCATCGAGCAATGCAGAAATCGCAGTCGGCCTTGAGTCAACAGCTCATGATACTTAGCGCAACACTTCTATGTCTTGTATTTACGAGGTAAGATTACATTTTAATCGACGCATTATCATACATTATTCGGCTTTTCAACTATTCTTACAGCTCGGGTAATTAACTGAGCGATCTAGTACGCATGGGATAATTAACTGTCTGTAAAACATTATTTCAAATACAGGGTTTAACCTTCTATGAAGCTTGAGCTTCATTAGAATTCATTCCAAATAAAATTCCAAAAACAATGATTGAAGATAATTATGTATAAATATACGAAGGTAAAAAAAAAAAAAAAAAAAAAAAAAAAAAAAAAAAAAACATATGTTTCGTATAATTGCAATTCGAGGAACATAATTTAAACTTCGACAGATGTTTACATGACAAAACTTCGACAAAAGCTCTTACACATATTCTCAAAGTTCCTCAAAACCCAATTACCTTAATTTAACTAGATTTCTCGTAACAAAACAGTGACTGCCTAAATTCCCCTACCATATAATATTATACCTAGCCAATACTGTTACTATCTGGTCTGCACCTAACTAACGTAATATAACTGCCAAGCAACCGGTGCAAATTCGTAAGCACTGATGCTCCAAAGTTAGCCTCTCGTAACATTTATGTGTTTGTTATTTGAACAAGGGAGGGAAAACTCAGTACTCTGACAACTTTATATAATCACGCTGATGGTAGTCGACCTTTACAATACGACCACGCAAGTGCTGTATTGACGCTCCATTACCGATAATTTCCTTCAAAGTAGCCCTAATGTAGAGAAACGGATCAGGTGACGCAATATTTTAACAGTATTTATAACATGAAATTACCAAACATTCGTTTCATTATGGTCCTGTAATTTTCTCCACGAACGCAAACAAAAGATTCAACAGCAAAAAATAATTTATAAGATAAGAGAAACGAGATAGTAAATTTCATATATATTAAATTAATAATTCCTATCACACAATACACAATGTAATTATTTCATAAACCAATGTTATTTTATGAATTAAGTGCGCATTCTTTCGCATCGTTTTATATTAACAGGCTATATATTAAATGAAATTTTTATTAAAATATTAAATTTTTGTTAAAAATCAGACAAAATACAATAACTTCTGAGCTATATCTATAAAATTGTCTAATAAATTATTTCTCAATGAAATTTATGTGGCAATAAAAATATATCAATAAATTATTAAAAATTAATTATAATAAATTAAAATGGACATGCAGTATATTTTTTAATGATTTTATAGAAAAAAGCATTAAATAAGTAATGAAATATACATTAATATACTTAATATATATATTATATATATATAATATATATATATATATATATATATATATATATATATATATATATATATATATATATATATATATATAAATAAATAAACTGCTAATTTAAAAATCTTTATTCAAACCAATTTTGATCAAAAAGACTCGTATTACGTAAATTTAACATATACATATTTAGTATAAAGATTTTATTAATTAATTCTTGTTTATAATATTATATCTACATTGTTGAAAAAATGAATATTAATACTTGTCGTAATGTTTTTCGTTCAAAACAATGAAACACATAATAGCGCATCAATTTTAATTAGTAAATTAACTTTGCTTACTATAGAATTTTTTTTAATACACATATTGGTCTATCTTATTTGATAATACCAAATGGAGCAATCAATAACAAAAAAATTCACTAGTCTAGGTAATTATTATTTATTTTTTTCTTTTTATTATTATTATTATGAATTTTATTAATATTTTTTTTTTTTTTTTGTAAATCAAACTACTCATCGGAAAAAAGAGCCTATGATACTTCTAATATATTATTTACAGAATTTCAATTTCATGTAATTTAATCTAACTACATTTTTCACATGCAATCAATGAAATAAAATATGAATAGTTTAATTTTCCGTAATACGTACGTTTCCTTAATACTACTATACATTACCTGTTAATTAGATGCCAAGCGTCAGCATTGCATTTTCATTATCTGGCAATTACTTAAACTATATGTGAATGAAAAAAAAAAAAAATATATATATATATATATACAGGTATTTAAATAAAAACTATTTAATTAATTATAAATAAAAGCATATTTATTAATAATAATAATAATGTTATACGGAATATTTAATTAAAATATTATAAGATATTATCTTACTTAATAATGAAAGAGAATAGAATTAAAATACAATTTTTTTATGAACATAAATGAATAACGGAATAAGGAGATCAATAATTCTAATAATCTTTATTCAGGTCGTCAGAAATTTTTAAAACTCTGCAAAAGAGAAATACTATTCACATTGAAGTAATTGTGCAGACTCTTGCCAACGCATACATACATACGTATTCATGCGTTATAGGCAATTAATACATTAAACGATAGAAATGACATGATAATAAAAGAATGAGCAATAATTATCTTAAATAGAAGGTTTTCAATTAAATTAAATTCATTATTTTAAATATAATCTAAATGCCTAGTCAAAGAATTTTTGCATAATTTATCTTTTCAAAATTATTTGAAGATTATAAAGAAGATTGACAAAAGTCAGAAAACACAATGGTTCTATTTCGACACTGTCGTTATATTAAATTCACTAATACATCGATCAATGACAATAACCGCACCCATATTTACGCATGAGCTGAAACAGTATTAACATTCTCTTTCCTATATGAAACGAAGGTTTAATTAATAATTGATATATACGTATTATCTTCCTTGACCAATTTCATTAATATCTTTTATAATTTTACTGGATGTACTATATCTTATCTGAAATTGTTAATAATAATAGTTTCTTGTGACTTAGAGAACTGTAATTTCAGTTAGAACAGAGAGAAACGCTTAAACGCATAATATAATAATTCCAGACATTTATTTACATTTCTTATTTCATTCGCATATATAGTTAAAAGATAAAATCATAATTTACATAATTAAATCTTCAAAGTAACATTGTACGCCTACCATTAAATAAAATTATAAAGCGCCCTTGTCTACATGTATGTCATATATATATATATATATATATATATATCTATATATATACTTATGTGCAATATAAAAAATTGTATGGCATATATGCATATAAATTATTAATGAAAAAAAAAAAAAGATTTATTTATTTTTAATTTTCATATAATTATATTAAATCATTAAATTTTGTAATTCTAGAGCAAAATTTATTACATTCGCAAAAACATATGAATATATTTCATTTCAATATGGCCTAGTTTTCGTCTGGTATATGTAAAAAAATATGTCAAAATAAGCCAATTTCATATGACTGTAATTGTAATTGTACATATACGAACATAACCATACACATTTACGAATGGTATTGTATAAATAAAGATTGATTTTTTAATGGATTACAATATTTCTTGTTTCAATGAAACGCCGATATTATGATTATTTAACACATCAAAATATAATTCTTAAATATATTTCATTTAATAAAAAAAGAATTTTACTTTATCTCGTATTAGTCATTCTTAAAATAACAAAATGAAAAGTCAATATTGGAACAATTTCCACGAAATAATTTTCATATTAATAGTACTAATATAATATTGAATATATATATATATATATATATATATATATTTGTGTATTTATAATCTGCTGCTTATATTATTTGATATCAAAATTATATTTATATTAATTTATTAACATAAATGGTTTAAGAAAAATTATAAATCGATTTATTATAAATTTAACGTTTGACAAAATTTGTTAATAAATATTATTTTAAATATTTAAGAATATTATTATAATATTTAATATCACAATAATTGTTATATAATCCGCAATATGCTTTTTATTATGACTGTTCCACAAATTCTCTCTAAATAAACATTATGGACAAAATTTATTAGATTACTCAATTATAAACAAAAAAAGTAAACTATCTGACTTTTAAAATAATTAAAGTTTAACATATTATATGCCTTTCGTGATAATTAATAAAAAAATATTTATATACATCGCCTAAAATAAAGCTTGGATTGAGTAATACCAAAAATTGTAAATAAACTTTCTACTTCATTTAATGGAATACATTTGTACAACCATTGTTACTATAAACTTTTACGTTACTTATATAATATATATTTATAATTTGTGCTGAAACTTGTATTTATAATTACAAAAAAATTTCCTCATATTTTATCAAAACTTAGTTTAAAAATTTTAAACTAAATAGTAAAATTTTTGAATTACAAAATACAAATGTTAAAAGCAAAAAAGTTTCTTAATTATCAAAACTTATTTTTCATAGTACATCTTTTTTCATTTAACTTAATAAATATTTACATTATCCTCTCCTCATAATAATCTTCAAAAGTATAACAACTCAATTTAAAAACATAATTTATATTTATATCAAGTTTGAAAACAAATATGATGTAAACAAAACATCCGGTAAACTTATATGAAATAATAACAAATTTGTCTTATTATCTCAAGAAATCGATTTTGTATATTCACACACAAGTTTTTTAATATTCCTTTAGTGTATATAAGAAAAAGACCATGCGCAACTAATCAATACAAATTCGTACAAAAAGATCGAGATCTCGATTCTTTTTTAAGTTTTGAATGCCCATCGACATAATTAAGAAATATAGTTCATGGAAAAGATACTTTTGATTCTTGAATACAAACTTGCGATAAAGTTACCGGTTGGAGGCCCTTTTAGTACGTACAAGTTTGCGCGCCACTTCACAGCCCCGACATTTGCCAGCAAACTGCATTCGTTCCTTATCTTGCCGGAAACTTAAAAGGTTCCCGATTGGGCGAAGTACTGCCATTGCCAACGCAACAGAAAATGACGTCACACAATTTCACTGGTTATAGACCATATAATGAGAAGATTACTTCTCACCGTTTCGTTCCATTCTCAAAAGGATAAAAGTATGTGGCTATAAACCGATGAAATTAATATAGCAATCACTAATAGTCGGATAAAAGAGATTTATCAAAAATAAATTACCCATAACATTACATT